TCAAATGTTTATTTATCATATTTTTTTGCAAACATTTCCTGCAGAATTTGTTTTGAAAGATAGATTTAGTATTAATAGACATTGAACATTACTGTGTAGGTTTATCCCCCCCCCCCACACACACACACACTTTCCACAGACACGTTACAGTATAGGTTTATAATTGGGAAAGTGGTGCTGTTTGGGAAAAAAAAAATCTTGGTACTGTAGTTCGAATCTATACCCCGCACCCCCAACGAAATAGGTTTTCTCGTGTTTGGACATTGGATATAACCTTTTTTCTTGATTGTCAGTTTTTTTGGGGGGAGGGGGGGTTAAATTTTTTTTTTATACACTTTCCCCCTGCCCCCCCCCCCCCCCCACTTTTAATTTGCTTCCGACGCCGATGCAGAGTCATAAATTACATGTTTACAGAAATATAGTAATATATATTTAGAAACCAGTGGTTATTTGGTTAAAAAAAAGACTTACAATGATGCGCATGTTATAGTGGATCTTTGAAAATTTATCTGACATTGGTTAGCGACATTCAGCAGCTTCTGACTTGTGATCAAGCTAAGGACTCCCCTACCCCTCATCCTTGGATTTTAAGATTTTTTAGAGATTTAACGAAGGTAAGCAGATCGTCTTCGAAAGTTGTCAGCAATGAAATAAGTGTTTGGACAACACGTTTTGTTTTGTTTTTCCCTGTGAAAAAAATCTGAGTGTGCTGCAGTTAAGCCAAGAAATTATAGTGATATCCGTAAACAGTACGTCTTTTATATACACAGATACATGAAAATGTATTTCACACCTAAATCTAAGTAAATCCGTAATTTCCGATTGCATATAGACAATCACAATTGAATTTCTTAATTTGTGATCATGAACTTCATTTAGAAAAACTCGCATCTATTTTTGAATGATATTTGCACTATCTTTAGTAACCACGTATTAATACATGTTCATGTATGATAAAATCCCACCACTTCATATCATTATTCATTTTGCACTATAGAAACGGTATGTCGTATATATATTGGGACATACAAGGAATTACATGTAGAATTAGAAAAGCCAATTTACCACTGCTAAAGAAGCTTACAACTCAATTTTTTCTGTCAAAAAAAATAAACATAGGCACGTAGCAACAGGGGAGGGTGGATTTTTTCCAAACATAAATTTTACTATTGGAAATGTTCTTTGATAGGCCGATTGCCCCCCCCCCCCTCCACTTTCTGATACAGTACAGTGAATTAAGGGTAATGTACATATAGTATATATAGTATTAAAAAAATGGTACTAAAGAAGTTGGCCTCTAAACACCCCCCTTCCCCCTTGAAACATGTCTTTCGAGTTTGGGAAATCCTCCCCTTTTTTATGTTTTTTATTTTCATTAATATTTTGTTTTTTGCTTGTCAACTTTTTTCAGGTAAGTTATTTTTTTCATCTTTGGCTGCCCCCCCCCCCCCACTTAAAAAAATGCTATGTCACTGCAACATTTTCAGAAAAGGAAATACACATGTACCTATTTATGGGGGAGGGTGGTGTCATGGGCCAACTTATGAAATACCCGTGTTTCCCGGTAGGGGCTTGCAGGTTGTTCTTGTTCTTTGCAATTGATTTTTTTTTGTTGTTGCTCATTTTCATTTATTAACATTCATTCCTGTGGAAAATGACTAAAATTATTTTTCATGGACCAATTCATTTAACATGTTTAGTATATACTTTACACATAGGAAATACCTGTCTGTATTGTATTGTAAATTAACCAAGTTTTGAATTTTTATTTTTAAATTGCTACATACCAAGCAAAGAAATTTTGCGAGAAATGAAAAACAACAACCGGAAAGTGTTACTACCAACTTAAATATTTTGATCCTAATAAAAGAAAAGGCGAAAACGAAATAAAGACACGTATTTGGAATTTGGGATAAATATTTGTCATCGGCTGCTATAGGAGGTGGAGATTCTGAAAAAAAAATCCACGAGCGATTATACTTATCCGACATCATTGTCAACATGTATTGAATATGTAAACATACCGGGTATATAATCAAAGTACTCAGAAGTACAGAGAGCCGGGCTCATTTACAGAGTAGAATGGATTTCTTACATGAATCACGTTTATATTCTGATAAAAAAAATTATTTTAAAACTTTCAATATAAATGATAAGACACTGACAGTGAGTTTTTCAATCCTAATACCACGGTCCGATTTTGTCAGAATCAGAATTAATCTGGTACCGCAGCAGAATGTAAACAAACAGGCCAGTCTGGTTCCCTCTTCTGCTTTACCTCGTATGTGTAGAGAACTACGGTAACACTGATTATCAAAAATCCTTACGCTAATGAACTAATGTATGTTCTTTAACTTATGAAGTTTTCAAAGTCATTACTACTAATGTTTATTTTATACAGATAAAACCTTTTTTTCATTTTTGTTGCTTTATTTAGCGTTTGTATTATCTCAAAAGCGGTTGAGAGTAAGAACTATATTTTTGCACGTAACTTTAAAATGGCGACTATGGGGTCAACATCCTGCCTTGAACAGGATCACATAAGCCGGCAATTGCTCTTTGAGCAATAAGCCCGGCTAAAAATGACTCTTATACGTGTGTAAGTATTTACACGGACTTAAAAATTAAAATGTAGAAAGCCTTTCAAGTGAGAAAAGAGTAGAGTAATCAACTGAATACTAAAACAATAATAATTTCGGAACAGGTGTTTAAAACGTTTTAAGCGAATTGAAAGAATGCCTGTTATATTATTCAGTCAGAACTGAGTACGATTTATACACCCCCCTTATCCCCCTCCAAACAAAACTTTTCACCAAAACTTGTACTGATTATTCATTTTCAGTCTTATAAAATATCATTTTACATGTCTTATTAGAACCCCAAAAAATTGTGAAAGGCATTATAAATAATATGAACTCATTAAACTCAGAAAGGGGGGGGGGGGTTACATTTAAATTTCAAGTATTCCTCTGTCATCAAGCAGGATATAAATGAATATATTACAAAAATCAATCAGTTTTAATGTACCCATTAACTAATTTAATATTTTTTTGAATCGGGATCGAAATCCCTCGCATTCTTATTTATATGATGTAGTATCTTTATTGGCAAAATTGACCTTTGGAGGGGGGTCTCTCCTCTACATTATATAATCATAGTATTCTAAACTACTGTTCCAATAATTATGATAATAATGTAAATAATAATTATCTTGACATTCGAGTTTTTTTTTAAATGTTCGTGCACCTAACATACCATATTCTAAAGAACTGATTTTTTTTTTTTTTTTTGGTGCGGGGGGGGGGGGGGGGGGGGGGGGGGCATCGAATTTTTTTTTCCATCAGGGCATTTTTTCACTAGATCGGATGTTAAGAATTTTTTATCAATTTATTTAAGAGAAATAGCTAAAAAAAATATTGAATTCGCATTATCAATGCAATAAAAGAAAGAAACTCTCAAAAGAGAAAAGACGGTTTATTTCTTTTTCTCCCCATTCTTCTGTTGGATTAATTCTAATCAACTAAAGCGGAGACACCTTCGTGGATGATTACATTGTAAGTAATAATGATAAGAAATAAATTTAACAAACCAAAACAATAATGACGTATTAATAAATCAACAACTTAATTTCTTAAATTTATATTTACAGTGTAATATAAACTGTGTCCTAGCGAGTAAATTAGAATTTTCAGATTACGCTTACGTGTAACGTTGAACGTGTTCATGACGTCGCGTCACAATTCTTCGTAAAATCTCGACGTTCTGCTATAAAATGTACTGTATTCAGCGTTATTTTTCCAATGCATACATTTAAGTCAGGTATATAAATTATATATCATTTGATTCTAAAAATTCTAAGCTTTTAAAAATGTTTTGAACGGAGCATGTCTGACAGCCGGCATTTTTTGGCCAATACCGTACTTTGTTCTTTATTTGCCTTGTCATTGGTTATTTACAAAATTATTTTGAACTCGTAAATTTATTTGCCTTGTCATTGGTTATTTGCAAAATTATTTTGTTAAAAATTCATTTAGTCCATAAAGTTCATATTAAAAAGACGGACAATATCTTTATGGGTTTTGGAGACAAAATCTTCCAACTTTCTATTGGAGTTCTCATGGGTAGCAATTGCGCATCGTTATAAGCAGGTCTATTTTTATAGTCATATGAAGCAGAATTTTCAAAAAATGTTGAAAAGAAGAAATTACTTGTTGTGGCCTTCAACTCGACATTTAGATACTAGTATATCGACGACGTATTGTCAATTAACAATGGCTATTCTGTCGAACATGATACCGGGTACATCCCGGTGAGCTTGAAATAAAAGATATCAGTAAACAACAAAGCTTTATAATGAATATGATGACTAACTTTTCAATCGTCAACTTCCCTCACTTATATGCAGCAACATACTCGGTACCTTTGTCACCTGCATACGGAGTATATATCTATCAGTTGATTTGATACAAAAAAATGTTTCTAAAACTTTCTAAAACGAGGTTAGTAATTGACAAACAAGTTGATGAAGCTAGAATATCGGCAGTTTCGTTTAAAGTGATTATTTTGTACTTAGTAATTTCTTTGGTCGATACAATAACCTTCTCACTAAGACGTTACTTCTCAATATATCTGTAATGCATACAAATTCATTGAATCTGAGGCTATTATGGATCGGAAAATAAAAATACATTAATTGTTAAACTTGCGCAAAAACCTTTAAAACTTTGATCATCTATTTTAAAAACTTTGGAACTTTGATTAACTAGAGTGAAAATTTTGGAACTCTGATTTACTACAGTTAACTATTGTAACTACAATTTATTTAAAAGTCAAAAAAAATTCACTTTAGTTTACTACAGTATTTTTATTCAGGAGTTGAGAATGCCAACTATTAATGTTAACCAGTAATTTATGGCATTGACACAGAAATAAAATTGTCTTTTTATCTTTATCGGTTGTTGCTCCACTCTGCTAGTATCATAATACACTATAACAGGAAGTCGTATCTAAAATCATTTTATTGCCAGGGCTAAAAAAAGATTGTCAACAAAAAAATATGGTATATTGTACATAAAATCCATAAAAATTCATAAATAAATAAAATCTGTGATCATCTATAACCGGAGCTTTCATTCTCGGTCTTTTGATTTTGCACAGCAAACGCATGTGTTTATAATACCAGGCAATCCACAAGAGGGAGGCTGGCTTGAAGTAGCACTACCTTAAGCTTGGAGGGAAAGTGAAAGATATTTCTACGTTCAAAGGTTGCTACAGAATAAGAGATTTACATCAAACACTAAACATAAACATACATGTATGTTTATCATAAACATATATGTATGTTTATCATAAACGACTTGCAAGAACACAAGAGAAAACATAAAAAATTACAAGTTTACAATAAAATTACATCAATATAATTCGTAAAAATTTGGTTTTCTAGATCACTATAATACCTGAAGGAAAATGACTATCTCACGACTTGATAAAATGGCCTTTATAGGTAAAAATGAAAGAAAGCATATTTCGTCGTACGGTAAAGCTTTTGGTAAGAATCCAAAGCATGATTGTTTAACATCTGCCTTTAACCCACTCCTAAAGAACAAAGTGGTCAGACAATAGAAAAGAACCGACATCCAAGACAATTTGTTTAAAAGTAAAAGAAAATTCACTGTATGATACAAATCTTTAGAGTAACATAATAATAATTTAAAAATAATGACCCGCATTATCTGCATAAAAGCACTGTAGAAGTGAACTGTTTAAGCGAATATTGAACGCCTTTTTTCCGAGAATATATCTGAATAAATTAATCTCTCTCACACACACTAATGTAAGAAACGCTTCTATCCATTAATATCAAGTCCTTCATATAGAAAATTGGCTTAAAACTCAAGAAAATAATAAAAAAGTATCATAATAATGGTACATTCGAATTTTCCCCAAATCTTAAATACTAGCGTTATTAAATCGAAAAAAAAGAACTAGGATTTGAAATGGATGGATATGCCTTTGACAGCTGATGACAAGTATGGCTGCTGTTTACTTGGAGGATCTGACGCAGCGGCCGCACAGCTGACAAGGGGGCCGGTAGTTGTCCACCATAGCTTTACCGTTCTTGAACTTTAATGATCTAAGGGCATCCATCTACAATTGAAAAATAGGAAACAATAATTTCCATGAAGTAAGAGTTAGAGAAAAGTATCATTTTTAGACAGGGTTATTATATTCAAGACTTTTTTCCATGTTTGTTGACAGTTGTAACAGTTTTATCTTACCTGTGCTTGTGAGATTTCTAAGACGTCACTGCAGAGTATCCACGTGACACTTTCATACAAAGGGGGCGTGGTTAGAGAGCCGGGGTACGTCCAGTAGTGCTCAGTTTCTTTAAAAATAAAGGTGATTATTTAGACTAAATGACCTCAAATATTAAAATTAAACAGAATTATTAAATAATCAACAGAATAAATTTGACTGTTGTCTGTTATTTGCTGTACATACTTCCGAGCATACACGATGGATTGAAATCCTTGTCAAGACGGACTGTTGCTCCTGGCTCCTGAATTTTCCTGCAGACATCGGTTAATGTTTTGAATCCTCCATGTTCCTTTCCTACCTGTGAATTAACATAAAAAAATGCAATAAAAGCAGAGATCACATCAATAAGACACCAACACGATGACATTAATTGTTCTAGTTTCGTTGAGGATTTGTTGATACGTACGTTAACCATGAAGCCAATGACAGCAAGCCCGTCTGGTTTGTCGGCAGCCTCACCAAAACTGGAGTACTTGTTGGCGTTCCAGTGGACCAAGTGGAGCTAAAACGAGGTTAAAATAATGTTTCAAAACTAAAAATTCCTTCACAGTGTTTATTAATATTATTCAAATAATCATAGAGAATAGCTGTGGCTCGATCGGTCTGTTATTCTTACCTCTGCGGCGTACGTCTTGCCGTCAATAGTGTGTTCCGATCCACGGTCATTGCTGGAACCCCAGTGGAGATGGAACTGTTCCAGGCGCCACTCACCCTCCAAAGGACCACCTCTCAAAACTGCAGAATAATAAAAAGAAATTCGTCATCTATCATTAGAAAGAGTTTTTCCTCGATGTTTTATACGGTTTTCCCGTCATTACTACATAATTCCTACTACAGGTCCTTACCTGAGGTTTCCTTGACTTGGAATTTGATGGAGCTGCCAGTGTTGGAGACCTCGGCGTTTTTCTCGGTGGCGTAGTTCACCTGGAAAGGTCTGGAGCAGAGCTTGTTGTCCACTTCACATGACTTTGTGGAGATGTCGATAGGGGACTGGCGTTCACCCTTAGCTATGGGATAGCTATTGTACCAGGTATCAGGTCCTGTGGGGAGAGAATAGGGAAAATTATATAATGTCAAATATAGGACAAACATATAGTTTGATCTGATGAAAATCCGAATGTATTTACTTGATAAATGACAATATTAATTGCATTTAATAACGAAAAGCAAGCTAGATACCAGTAATTTTAATAAAATGTTATATGTTCTCTCCAACGATAGGGGAATACCAGCGATAAAGGAGATTCCTTATTGAGTGATGCTAGATTTAAAATTTATTGATCATTAGAATCCGGACTGTATTATCATTTTCAGTAACATTTTTTATACAAGTAGTACTAAATTTCCAATGAAAACATGGTAAAATTAAATATCCACACAGTTTATAATTTTGCGTTTTAGGCCTAGAATGCACTATTTTCATATAAAAAACGTTATTCCATATTTCAGCCTGCCAATATATCCTCGATATAAATATTTTAGATGGTAGTTGAACTTGATGTGTTTCTTTCACGGCATTTAAAATTATTTGTAGGATCTGTTTTCATGCTCATTAATGTTGAAGAATTATCGTAAAGGGAAGGATCAATAATGAGGAGGTCAATGGACTGATTTAAATACCCGTTATTGCCAACACAAACATAAGGAAATATTTAACCTCATTCGGCCATTTAAAACGTTTATTTTCACTATTGCACATTATTAAATTTTATATGAACTTGGCTTTGAAATAAAAATTTCCTTGCCGTTATTACGATACGGTTGGGGGTGATACTACATGATTGTATGATCATAAAGTGATTTCAAACTTTTTATCAGTTAAAAAATGTCCAGTAGTTTCGATATCAAAAACTATATACATGTAATATCAGTGAAGTAGATACAGTTTGTATGAATTAGTCTGCACAGTAGATACTAGGTAGATTAGTTATGATACCCTATGTGATACGGGTAGCATGATTCGGCCTGTACAGTAGTTAGGTCGATTGAGGACACACAGCCTACCGTCATGTTTGTCGTATCCCCAGCTCATGGTCTCCTTCGGCGTCTCCGACACAGTGTTTCTCTGGAACTGGTCGATAAGCTTTCGGATGCTTCCGAAAGGCACAGGATCTACAACGAAATAGATCCAAGTGGTGAACTTACAAGTACAGTGGTACAAAGGAAGAATATTACGTTCTAAAAAGTCAAGGGTAGTTTTTTTTTATAAACTTTAAAAACTGTAGGGGTTTTGACAGTTAAATACCTGGGTAATGGGTGATATCTCGCCATTCAAATATACGTATGTAAAGATTCAGTGTTGCATTACACTGTTTTAGTGCATATCCTTTTGTCATTGTGTCAAATTTTAACCGGATAAAACTGATTCTCGAAGTAAGACAGCTACCTATAAGCAAAAGTCTAGGACGAGACTTTAGCTCTACTGCTTTTTTTTTTCTTATAACAAAACGGGGAGAAATGTAGCACTTGAACTAAAAACTATGCAACGGCAATATACAGAATAATTGCCCGTGGGTTGGTCTCTTTTTGTGACAAGGTTTATTGCAATAAGATCGAAATTGTAAAAGGAGTAGCCAAAGAAATTTCTATTTAATTCAAGTAACAATCGCAAGTCCCGTTCATCAAAATCAAAATTGGTAAATAGAATTTGTTTCTTAGTGTAGTCTACTTGTGTGCAGAGATGTATTGGGCTCCGAACAAAACTGTAAAAGGGGGGGGCATTTTAAATGTTTTTTTTAACACAAAATTTAATTTTAAGCTACCATGCGGACATTTTTCATCGAAATCAAAACCGATATAAAGAATTATGTGTTTTAGTCTATTTAAGTTAAATTAAAATCAGATAAAAACTGAAGAAGTAGCAGATTGAAGAAATATTTACAGACAGACAGCTATAGATAGACAGACAGACAGCTAGGTAGACAGACATACGGACGAAGCACATTACTTTCTCATAACGTCTCTGACCAGTAGAGCTGTATAAAGGCCTTAGTAACACAAACATTTACGAGTTTTATTTATGAAATTAGCAATACAATTCCAAATCACGTTTTTAGTAGGTGGGTAGGGGAGGGGCATAGGTAAAAATATATCTAACGCTGACCTTTTTAATGTATTTTTACAAAGTGGACGAAATAAAACAATTTAGGTAATTATGCATTTGCCATTTGTAAAGCCATCCTGATTAAAATGTATACGATTTTTATTATGTAAAAATGTCAACACGTTTTAAATTATAATTTATTTTTTTTTTACATTTAAGCAACATTTCGTGGATGATTTGGTTTTCATTTTTCACTCGAATCTTTAAAGAGCATATGAATAAAAATATGCAATGTTGACTATTGACACAATCTCAATAAGCCTTTTTATGCACTTCTTAAAAGCCTGTGGTCTCGTTATATTGCATTTTTAAAAGAACATACATGTAAACAACAAGTTGGGTCAAAAAAGCTCTTCAATTCATTGTGCAACTGCAGTTTTACATCGCGCTGTCGGTTAAATTAAGAGGTAAGTATTGTTTGTATTGCTTCGGGACATTACATCCGCAGACAAGTCGATCTGACGGATTGAAACATATTCTGGCGGTCCGAAGTGAAACAACTACTTGTTCTGGCAATAAATATGTCTGATTAATTAAATTACATTTCCACTAAGGCGTTTTGCCTGACGTTTAGAATAAGTATTTTAAATTGAAAACTTCAATCATTTTTTCCTAAATTAATAACGTGTGAAACATGATCTGCGGATTGAATTTTGTAGATATTTATAAATGTTGGTCACTTCAAAAGTAAGTTTGTTAAACTGGACATATTTTGTTTGTCGAAATAAATACGGCATTGCGATTTAAAACTGAGTCTTGATTTAATGGTTTCATTTTCAAAGTATTTAAATCAGTAGCAGTGGTGATGCTTTGATTAACAGAAAGACTAAAGCGACTTCTATTTCAATATTCATCCATCCTTCAAATATTACATTAGTGACAATTCGGTTGGTGCTTGACAAATCCTTGATTAGATGTCACATGTTTTACCTTTCTTTGATTAATTTAAGCACATACACGTGGATTATATACATGTTTGTTTTATCATTATTTTGAAATTTTGATTAAAACGACTGTATTTCTTTAATTCATATTGAATTGTTTTAGGTTTAAATATTTATCAGAAAAAATTCTTATGCAAGATAATACGAGATTCTTCCGTGGATATAACTATTGTCATTGTCTATAGAATGGATAAGTGAGCAGACTTCAATACCAGCTAATAATTTTTTTGATGAATATTAATCGCCATGTAATAAACAATCTTACACAATTTTTGCCATATCAATTCTTCTTCAATAATAATTCACCCCTAATCCAGTAAGATTATCCCTATTATTTCGTCTAAATGTTTAAAGCTCTATAGGGGCCAAATTAGAGATTTTCTCTGATTTACCTTTAATATAAACAATAACAATAACGACATCGTGAAATAATATCGGTAAAAAAAAGACCCCATTATGAATTTCAATCAAATGTCTTTTTTAGTTTGCCTCCTAGAATAGCGAATGCTTGTGAATTCTTTACAATCTGTTATTTAAAATGTTTAAAATTATTTTTCATTACACTGTTCAATCATGTCGAAAATATGACATGTATATACTTATAAGGAACACAGGAAAATAGAAAAAAATTCATTAATGGTACAAAACATTATATTTCAAGTATTTAACGGCATTTTTAGATAGTCGGATTGTTAGGAAGAATTAATCCAATAGTTCTAAACTCTAACCTTTTCCATCCTGGACCAATTTGTATTTTTGGGTTTTTCTCGTAAGTCCCATGTTGGCAGATTTTTGGAATAGAGTGCTTTCAGCTACAATGTACTGTAGTAAGTGTCCGACAAATCTCGGGAAGTGAGTGGTTAGCAGGTAAATCTACTCGTATTTAAAGGTGAGTACTCATTAACTTCGACATTCAAAGCGCCCCGTTTTGATCGACAGGTGCGAAGGAATTTTCGGCCAATCGCAGTGGGCCCTGTGTTTTAATTATATGGCCAAGTTCGCCGTGAAAAAAATTGCACTGTGTTCGCAAATAAAGATTTATTTACATATGCTGGTTTTGAAAATGGCCTGCTATATGTGCAATTGGAGCTGCCGACTTTAAATTTCCCATTGAAATTTAAAGATTGGAAAAAAAAATAAATCAAACGATTGAGTACATATAGAAGAAAAAAACAGAAGAGAAATAAAAATGATTTAGTACAGGCTGTGAGAAAAATCTACCTAAGAATTTACAAAGAAAGCAAATGTTAAATTCAAATAATTACTGATTCAAAGAAGATGAATTATATTTTGTGTAAAGGGACTTTTAAGAAAAAATAATTATTTCGTTGAATCAACTAAACTATTCGTCATACATATTATGCCTCCTGATCAAATATTCGGGAGCTGTATAGTTTTCATCCTGTCCGTCTGTCTGGCTGTTTGACTGTTGTCCCAAAATTTTTAACCTTGCTTTGAAATTTTGATTGGATGAAGTAATGTCATTTTATATTTTAAAAGTGGTTTCCCTTTGGAAATCCCTTTCCTTAGGTATGTGTACTAATATTTTGACCTACTAACCTTGACCTTAGAGTCAGAACCATTTTACAAAATTTAATTAACTTTTTTCTTAGACTATAACATCAGAACAGTTGGTGCAAAATATTTGGTACTTCACATGTGTTTTTCTTGTGAAAAGATGTTCTCTTGGTTGTAACAATTTTGACTGTTAGATCTTATCCTTTGAGTTTGACCTCCTTCTGAAAAACTTTACAACTGGCCATTACTTCTGTATAGTTGGTGACTTGGTGCTAGGATTTTTAGCTCACCTGACCTGAAAGTTCAGTGAACTTTTCTGGTCACCCATTATTCGTCCGCCCATCTGTCTGTAAACTTTTCTCATTTTCAACTTCCTCTCAAGAACCACTGTATCAATTTTAAGCAAACTTGGTACAAAGTATTCTTGGGTAAAGAGAAGTTTAAATTGCAAAATTTAAGGAACAAGCCTTGTTACAAGAGGAGATAATCAAGAAAAGACAAAAATAGTTGGGGGTCAATAAAAATATTCTTCTCAAGAACCATTGGGCCAGAAAAGCTGTAACTTACATGGAAGCATCCTAGGGTAGTGAAGATTCTAAATTGTTCAAATCATGACCCCCTACGGGTAGGGTCGGGCCACATAGGAAATCCAAGCTTTACATTGAAATATATAAGAAAAGTCTTTAAATCTCTTCTTCCAAAGAACCACTGGACTAGTAAAGCTGAATCTTATGTGGAAACATCATAGAGCAGAGTAAATTCTAGATTTTATTGAAAAAAATCCTGGGGTAGTGTAGTTTCTAAATTGCTCATATGATGACCTTCTGTCGTAGGGCGGGTCCAAGGTATTACAAGGGTGAAAATCTTATGAAGAACAATATGGCCAAAGTTAATGCACCGAGATTTGAAAAAATATCTTGTATATATTTTTTCAAATCTCGGTGCAATGACTTGTAACATATTTTTTTTTATAAGTACTTCTCTTGTGGTCCATATATTTTGACCTGGCAGATTGACCTATTTTTGGAAAAATTTTGAACTATGGCCATAGCCCATAACTATTGAACGGTTGGCGGAAGGGCTTTTTAAAATATTTCACAGACGTATTTCTTTGACAAGAGCGTATTTCTTGGGACAAGAATTTTTCTTTAGGAACCAATAATCTTTATTTCTTGACCTTGACTTCTTTTTAGTTTGTCTTGCATTTGAGATACTTTAATCCCATTAGTATCAGAGTATCAGTATTTTACATACTAGTACATCTATTTTTTTTAATAACTATTTGATGTTTTAACTTTCTCTGTATTCTTTATAAATGAAATGGTTTTCCATGCGCTTGTCAAGATTTACTTGAAAATAACAGATAGATTATTAAAACGATCCCGAGAATACATGTATGAGAATATGAAATTACAATTTTCTAGTTATTGTTTCCTTCTAAGTGAACTCATTTTCCAAGCCCTGTAACAAAGCCATTAGGCGAAAACAAGGATTTCCCTTTTCTAACATTAATGTGTTACCTATATATTATTGTATTGAGAGTATCA